CCCCCGGGCCCCCCCCCCCCCCCCCCCCCGCCCCCCCCGCCCCCCCCCCCGCCCCCCCCCCCCCCCCCCCCCCCCCCAGTTTTGTACATGATAGGAACAACCCTCCTGGTGGGTTTGTAAACGCGTTTTTTGATAGGCTCAAAATGGTGCAAATGAAATAAAATATTAAGGGAAACCCCCCGAAAAAAAGACGTTGGATTGTTGGCTCTTACCTCAACTGAAGCTTGAAATCCATCAAATCTCTTAAGAAGCAGGCATATCGGATGCGTACTTGCCTTAGGTACATATATGTGCTAGGTAGGGATCCGTACTCTAAGGCAACTGCAATAAATGGAAAGGAGGTACCACCTGTGAGACTTAACAATAGGCGCGACAGGATAGAAAAGAGCGGTAAGATTAACTTATTTGTGTTTGCTTTCTCTCCCATGCAGAAGTTATTTACAACATGATATGTATCTGGGTAGTAAAGTATTTAACCTAGGTAGGTAAGATATATTTCTTTTTATTTGATTTGTATTACTTGCCACTATTGCACGTATGTAACTTTATACTAACATGTTTTAATGCAAAACTTTTAATAAAATATAATTTCGTTTAATGTAACTATATTCGCTTTTAAATAACATGCATACCCCGGGTATATACATGCATAAACATTAAGTACTTAATTATATGTATGTCCTCAAGTGCGAGCTTGACACGGTGGAGTATTCCCATCCAGGATATGTCCAATCAAAATTGATGTTGAACTTTTTGGACAAATCAAACTACTTAGATTTTAAGAGATAGCCTCACCGTGTCAAGCTCGCACTTAAGGACATAAGTACTTAAATAACTAAGCAGTAGGTAATAAGCAGAATATGTACAACTCTCTTTACAGGATACCCCTTAATAAATATCGTGTGCTTTATGCAGTTCTAGACTTTCTGGCACGTTGCTTTTTAAACGTAACTCATTACTACCGCTTACCCCCACGCTCTTCTTTACTGCAGCTGTGATATGCTGGTTTCGTAAGGAATATGCACGTCTTCCTTAGAATGAAAAAGTTTCATATCATCTTTAAAGGTGGTAAAACAGGGGCCAGTATGTACTTGTCCGAGAATAAGATCTATTACAATACCAGTACAAGAGTAATGGAATAATTGCTGTTGCGTGAAGACTCTTAATGGTCTCATTTAAGAAAGTTGCTCATGTATAAATGCCTTCCAAAAGACTTAATATACAAGCTATGCATACATACACGTAGGCCTGGCTATACAAGTAAGGGAAGGTCACTTAGTTATTGACAATGCATTCATCAAAACTATATAGCTTTTAATATCTGTTCCCTTTAGTAAACACTAGCTTATTGTTAGTAATGACTGGAAGTTGTAACAATAAATAGCGTGGCAGAGCCTCATCGTAGTTCCGTATTAGCTTCAATAAATCATATGTCACTCCGCTCCCATAAAACCCCGCGGCACCACTCAATAGCTCCGAGGTTATCCTCCTCAACCTCGCGCCTTTGCCTGCTCCGTAAGCGGGTCGGTCTCCGCGTTCTGGGGAAGGCAGAACGCTCCGCCAACCCCTTTCTTTAATAACCGACCTCCCTTAAGGACTTAGTTCATCTTAGATACCTTAGGTACTTATCCTACTACGACGGATCCAAAAGTATACCCCATAGAGACCTAAGCAGTCAGACGTAAGAAGACTTACAAGTCTAATGTCGCAAGGCGCTTGAATACTACGTATATCATTATGGTGAAGCCACTAATATGAATGAGGCATGTGCGTGCCCTAGCAAATTGCGTTACCTTGCATCACTGCTCATAATTCTCATCCCATACCAACTCCGTACCAAATCTACCCATCTACTAGTTTACAAAACTCTCTTTGGGTACAGAAATAACCAACGCGGGCATATGCGGTGCGTTCACCAGAACGAACACCAGCCAATATAATGCTGGCAGAGGTTTTCGAGCTTAGTTGCTTCCATGATTAACTTGTTAACTTGTGTTAAGATATCCAACTCGTCGGTCGGCTTGAAATCCCGGCCAGTCAGCTTCTGGTTCACGCGGTCTAGCACTTCGACCGCGCGAGCGTTTTGTATCTCGGCCATCTCGCCGTCGAGCATCTGGCCTGTACCATTAATCAGACTTGAATTCGTGCGTGCCCTAGCGCGAGAAGCGAGCGGGCCACCGGGATGGCCCGAATCAACGGCGCCGGCTGCTTGTTGTGCAGCGAGGAATTCGGACGGCGGGTGTTCGGAATCTAGGATACTTGGTCTGCGGGCTCGCTGAGCACCAGCGACTAAGGATGATTCGCGTTCGGAACGGAAGTTGGGGCCAACAGGGGAGGCCGCGTTAGTGAGACGCCAGGTCAGCAACGGATCGTGGATGAACTAGAATGACCCAGCGTTAGTATGAATATAACTTCTATCGGTAATGATAATCACTTACGGCTTCTAGGACGGCCATAACACTCTCTTTATTCTCCCTGAGGACGCGCATGACATGCTCACACGTAATCCGGAAGCTACCCTCGATGTTGCTGACTTCCATCGCGTATGTGAGCATTCTAGTAAGACGGAATGGGACTCGCTCGGGATATTTGTCTCGCTTCATGGCAACTTCGAAACAGTCACCGAAGTCGATATGGATAATCTTCCCAGTAATGCGGTCGAGCATTAAGTTGCTCGGGTGCCTGTCGCCGAGACCGAGAATGTAGCCAACCATGCTCATGACACCTAGACTGCGTGTATAGTTCGTGCGCCTTTCTAGCCAGGCTTCAGAGCTCTTACTCTTTAGCCATAAGACGCGGTATAGATCCTGACCAGTGGTGTTGTCTAGCGCGTAACCAAATACTTCAACCTTTTGCATGAGAGTAAGGTTGTCGTAGTCTGGTGCCATCTGTAACATGATACGGTGCTCTATATTAAGGAGAATCTTGCGGCTCTCACGATACTCGCGAATCAGCACATGCAATGTGTCGCTGTTTGGCACCCAGCCGAGAAGTCCCGAATTCTGACTGAGGGGTATTGCCGGATATTGTTGAATGCTAAGATGGCGTTTGTAGCACTCGGAGTCATTAGCGAGCAGAGTGTTGCATAGACCAAATAGTTGCATGACACGTTCGTCTTGCCGAATATCCTCATGTCCCTTCAATAGGAAGGAATACTGGTTTCCATCGCTCCCGTTAATATTCAACTTTCTTGGTCTCTGCTTGGAGTTGATCACGCTGAAGGTCGAGTCGAATGAGAGGATGCGAACGATAGGGGCGCCGCTCTTGTATTGACCGGGAACTGCTAGATCGAGATTTTTGGCTGCTAACAGTTTTGGTGAACAATATGCAAGCTCCAGAGACGACATCTGCGGTAGTTGCCTCCCAATCCGACGGAACACCTGGTAGTATAGATCCCACGCCTGATTGAGATCGTTCACATCGTGACTGGACTCGTACTGGCGACACCACTCCCGAGCTTCGGTGAGGTCTCGGCCGAAGGTCTGCGCGAAACTAATCTCGCGCAGGGTCTCCGGTCCTCGCTCTAGCAGCTCGTGTAATGGTCCCAGCGTAGCGAACATGCCTTCGATGTTGTGATCTCCAAAGTACAACCGAGAAGCCTCTTCGAGTCCTTCGTGCCAAAGCTCGTGCCATAGTACCGCGACACGGATAAGTTCGTGGCTGACCGTGTCGGCCTGTTCCACAAGCTTAGCGCTGTGTGCGCGCATGCTATCCATAATCAGCGCCGCCGACTTCGATCTTCTGGAGCTCTGGGCCGATTTCATCGCTACGGTTAGAGGATATACCAAGGCTTGAGGGTGATTGCGCCCGACATCGGCGAGTAGATTGTGAATAGATTGGCGCACTCGCGTATTAGGCTGATTGATCCGGGCGATGAGCTGCGGAATTACCTCCAGCCATGTATCGACGCTGACGGTCCCGAAGCCTTGAGTAACGGCTGCGTTAACTTCGCTACTACCACCGTGCGCAAACCACAAGGTGAGGAGACGTAGGGTGTCTTGAAGGGCACTTCCGGACGATAATGCGATAGACTTGAAGAAACCCTGCACAGCAGGGACGACGTGGTTGATGATGATAGCTGAATCTGGCCTCGGGACGTTCCTATCGGCCGGAGGTGTGAGAGCCTGGACGATTTCGAAGTTGGCCAGAGCCCACGCGTGCCACGCCTTGTACCATTTCGGATTATATTGGGTGGCTTTTGAGTAGGAAGTTAAGATGTCCTGAACATTGTGGTGCTGCCAGTCGTGTTTGTTTAAGGATACTTGCCACTCTCCCTGCTTCAAGAAGCATTTTGCAAGAAGCACCGTTTGGTCTTGTATTAGCTTTTGCGTTCTAGAGCTGGGCATACCCGCGTCTATACTATTATGATAGCCGTAGTCGCTCGTCGGGTCCACTCCGTTAGGCGCGGCTTGTATCGACGCTCTGGCCATCTCAAGGCTCTGGGCGGAATCAGCCGTGAATTTCCTCAGGCAGAATAGCGTCTTCTCAGGGTGGCCTGTTTGGCGTAGCTTCGCCTGTTGTCCGTACTCCCAATAGAATTTCAAGACGGCGTAGATAACTTGTGGGGGAATTCTCGGGGCCGGGGCCGGGGCCGGGGCCGTGCCTTGCGGAGGCGGGGCATTCTGGCTCCAGTATGGTATTATCGCCTCGAGGGGGTGCTCGGTGCCGATGAGTTGTTTGAGCGACTTTTCCGCCAAACCCATCCTTCCGGATTTTCGACACAGGTTTGCAAATTTAATCCACATATGCATATTCTCCGCGGGGTTAATAACCAAGCCGCGGAGTCTTAGCATGCGCTGCCATACCTCAACGTTCCTTTGGCATCCTTTCAGACGGCTCTCCCACGTGCGTCGCATCGTAGCCTTCTTCCTATCATCAGCCTGTTTATAAACGATGATCTCTTCGAGTTCTGCAAGCATTTGTACTCGGACAATCACTTGGTAAGCACGATTGTAAGACTCGCTCACAAGCGCGCTCAGTTCCGTATCGAGACCCTCTCGCGTCTGTTGAATGCAGCTGGCGGCTTCTCGGAACTGGTTGCGATGCAACGCTAGTATTGCACCAAAGAATGAACGGTCGGGTGAGTTTCGCTTCATAGACTGTAGATAATTGTCCATCGAATCCCATTTGCCTAGACCCCAAGCGGCCGCGGTTGCAAGTGGTGCAATGCGCCTTTGGATTTCGGGCGCCGAGTTCGCCCACGTATTGCCCGTTAGGTTGGCCAGGGCATCCCACTCTCCAAGAGCATGCAAGCAGCGCATCTTGCCCATGACAATTTCGAGCGGAACCGCTTGATCTTCCGGCATCTCCGCTTCCCTCTTGTTGTAAAATTGCAAGGCCTCTTCCCATCGTTCTAACTTCTCGAACCAGGTTTCTCTGAGCTGGATGCCGTCTTTGTAAAGCTGCGCCTTACGAAGAATGCCGATTGCGGCGTCGTACTGCTGGAGCTGATTGTTTATGACGATCAAGGCTTCAACAGCTGGTCCGCTCTGGTCCTGTAGGAATTCTAATTCCTTGTAATGGAGGGCTTTCGCGTATGCATGACAGCGGCCGGCCTCCCTACCAAGGACCCTAATATCAATAGGCAAGGCTTTGTCGTCATGCTCCATGAATTCAGCCAAGTTGAGCAGGAGCCCAAGTAAGTCTGGCGGTACGTTCTGGGATCGTATGGCATTCTCGATGTTTTGGATGAGCTCGTCCTGGAACTGCTCGTAGAGCTCGCTCCAACATGAGACGAAAGCCGAATTAAATAACTCACGGGCAAGCGGGAGGTGCACGCTACCCAGAATAGCACAGGCACGCAGGGCATGGTTTGGTGACTCCGTAAGGAGAGTTGTGCTGAAGCGTCGGAGCCATTCTTGCCAGTCTTCCTTAGTAGACTTGCCTTTGGTATCCCAGGCGGCCTTCAAGTGAATCGCGTTCATCTCGAGTTTCTTGTTGCCAAGGTCAGCGAAAGATGGCTCGTCTAACTGGTCAATGAACCGCGTCTCCGAACTCAAATCTTGCGGCAGAGCCTCTCCTTTCTGTAGCTTGCTGACTAGAAGCTCGTAATTTTGATGTTGGATCTGGCCGGCCTGCAGGACTTTATTGACGGTGCCCATGAAGTGTAGGTAATCCCGCCCGAGCTGTTGAATCAATGCACAAAGAGTATCTAGCGCTGCTACGCGTAGGGAAGATTCTCCACTAGCAAGAACTCTAGTCAGTGGGTGGATGATTTTGGCGGCGTAGTCGTTTAGGTTGACCTGGCGAGAGATCTTGCCAATGGTCTCAATAGCCGACTTCCTCAAGAATGTTGGCTGGCCCTGCTTCTCGAACGTCCGCACGACTACGGGGATGATTAGATGCATATATTCTTCGCTGCTGGAGCCAAATACCAGGAAAGCATGTAGAACTTTCTCTGAAGGAATCCGCTTAGTAGTCGCATCCTTCTCTAGGACGCCAAGCATCGCAGGGAGGAGGCCTGCGAGATAGATCTTGAATTCTCCTTCCAAAGATCTCGAGATGGCCTCAACAAGTGATAGTATCGTAGCTTGGAGTGAGGGTGATGTATCCCAGTAATTATGGAGCGTGTCAATAATCTGTGGTAGGTAATTCCTAATATGCTGTCGTACGATACTGACCAGTGTGGCCAACTGGTTGAAATATGATTCGAGACGATTCTGTGGACAGTCCTTGATGACTTCTAAAAATGCCGGAATGATACGGTCTAGGAATTGGACACACTCTAGCCCGAGCGTGCGAAAGATATTCATGATGGCTTCGATAACCGCAGCATGGTGCGGGGCGAGTGAGTTGTCTTTTAGAATGTTTAGTAGGGCGTTGATTACGACAGTAGGATAATACTCCTTATTAGAGGGTGTTAAACCTGTCATCATGAGCGAGATATCGGTCATCCTATTGGTCTCGACGCGCCGTTTGGCATCGGGAGCACGCTCTTCTACTTGCTGTTCGTCGTTCTGGTTAGCTTTCTGTTTATACCAACGTGATTGTTCCCGGGAATGTTTTGGGGTTCTGTTAAGGGGCTTTATGAAAATTTCCTGATGCTTCACTTCAGCAACAGGGTCCTGGTCCAGGGTGAGAGGACTTCCAATCTCACCCGCGGGTTTCTTTAATCCATGGACACGCCGCCAAATGCGGTCATCTTGGGGATTCTGTACCTGATACCTGTAAGGATCCAACGCGCCCAAAATTCCCATCAGTTTAATCGTCCCCTGTCGTAGAGACCCTCGCTGGGGTTCGGCGCGAATGATGTGTTGAAGTAGGTCCAGGAGCTCAGGGTACTCGAGGTAAGGATCGATAACATAGCCAGAATTACTAGCAAGTTGACCAAGAGTATGCAAGGCGGCTTCTCGCTTAACATTAGAGGCGTGGTCTTTCAACGCATCGATAATAATCGGCATAAGCTTATCCTTATAGGGAAGCATGTCTTCTCCCCCGACCGTCGCAAGCTCGCCGATTGCCTTGAGAATAGTGGCTGCAACGGCATTATTCGAGTCGCCAGCCTTCGGAAGGAGCACCGAAATCATGGGCTCAACATAAGGCTTGATTAATCCTTGGGCATTTTGCACCAAGTGGCTGAGGAGTTTTGCGCTCTCCTCCTTGTTGCGTGGGGCATCCGAAAACTCGAGCTCGGTAAGCATCTGTATCAGTGTCTTCCGAAGAGAGGGGATCACATAAGCTGGATTATATCGTGCCAGCCGCCCTATGATCGAAATTGCTACTTCCCTGATCTCGAACACCTCATCATTGAGCGCGAAGAATAACGTCCGGATATTTTCGGCTTTTGATAGATGGATATCGAACCGCTCGTCAAGGGCCGCAAGTACAGTCCGCCGTATATTCGGTTCCGGATCGGATACACCTACCGTTAGTAGCTTCTCAATAACATCTCCGACAACCTGCAGCGCGTGGTAACTTGTCTGATTCACGATCGGGTCTCGAACATAGAGTTGGCAGCAGGTGAGGGCGGCGGCTTCGCGGATCTCGGGATCATCGTCTTCGACGTATTTGATGGCGACGTCGCGGACGAATTCATTTAAAATGTGACCTCCATATACCGTTAGCATCTGGCGTTCCTCAGATCGAATCTTGCTCGTAGTAGGTAAGTAGAATTATTACCTGAGAAGTCAAAGCTTCCTAACGTATTCAAAGCCAGCTTCACCTCAGCCTTCCGGTGTTCGTAAGCTTGCGGATCCTTCGCGTCTTTAGGTATGATAGGGACGGACGAAAGCGAATTCGGAGTAGGAGCCCCAAGGGGTTTGAAGGGTTCTCCACACAAGACTTTACTTAGCATATCAAGGAGCCTCTCCTGGATGGTGGCTTTTACAGGCGGTATATAAAATGCCATATCAACCAAGGCCTGTGTGAGTTTCGGAGTAAGCTCGCACGCAAATATGGGATCCAGAAGCGCTTCCATATACTTGCTAAGTGTCTGGCCGACCGCAACGGCGAGCCTGCTAATACAATCGAAAACGGGATCAACAGACCCTCGTTTTCTAGATTGAATGCTGAGGCCCTCTCGGACATAAATAAGAACGCTGTCAAGGTATGGAGCGATGGCGCTCTTCACCGCGTTGGCAATATTTCCGATAGCCAAGAAAGCATCATTCCGCTCCTTATCTTTCTTGAGCATGCCGGTTAGATAAAGCATGAACTTGTGAAGATAGGTATGGGCGAAATCGGCCGGGGAATAATTGGCCAGGTCTGGGATGAGTACGACTACCGTCTTGCGGATAGTTACGTCGCGATGATCTTTGTTACGGAAGACGATCTCACACGCCTCCTGATAGTGCTCCTGCATATACATGCCTCCCTGCTCAAGAAGCTCCTTAAGAACCAGGAGGGATGCATGGACGTATTCAACAGTGTTTGTCTTGAGGCCGGCGATGGTTTCGTTGTACATCTTGGTCATCCACGCCTGCTTCATCTCCTGGTCTCGCTCTCGAATAATGCGGAAACAGGCACTAACCGTCTCTGCAGATGTCGCACGGATCAGTTGGCGCTGGTCACGAAGACCAACCCATATTAAGTCGAAGATGAGGCCAACGTAGGTGTACATCAAGGTGGGCGCATTCCGGGCCAGCTCGCGGAGGACTAGGACAGCACTATATCTCTTTTCCTCCACCCTGTCCGATTGGAGCCATTCAAGAGCGGTCTTAACCTCAGATTCGACCAACTCAGATATCAGCGATCCTCCAGGTCGACAGAGCCTTCCAAGGGCGATCGCTGCGGGTTGCATAGGCACGATATCCTTTCCTCTTAGGATAGTCTTGAGGTTCGCTGTGAATCGGGTATATTTGGCAGTAACATCGACGCCTTCGAAGTCGACTAGCGCGTCAAGGGCGTAAACGCCACCCAGACGTTCAGAGGAGTCGTTGCCATGAAGCATCAAGGTCGTGATCTTATTATTAACGGCATTATAGAATACATGGAATTGTTCTGGCTGGAAGTCTGCGTTGAATCGTGGTCAGCTCGGGTAGGTAGATAGAGACTGGAAGGTGAAGGCCGTCGCGACATATTTCCTGGTAGCGCAGACAAGAAACAAGAATGGTAGAATACACACCTCTGAAGCAAGCAGCGACCAAATCTCTCAGTTGAGCAGCCGCCCGCTTTCTTACTTCATCTCCAGCCCTATTCGGAATCGCAATAATTAGTTGGGACAGCGGGGTTTAGCAGAGGGAAGAGTCGCACCTTGATTTTAAGTCTCTAGTGATGGTATCAAGGGCCTCCAGGGCCAGCTGCTGTTGTTGCGCCATGGTAGGCGGCGGCTGGAGGGGATTACCGGCCTGGCCTCGTTACCCTTCAGCCGCGTCGAGAACAGCTTCAAGAATTAATTTCGAAATGCATCAAGATCAAAGGTGCTACCAGAACGACTGCGATATCTGATCGCAAGAACCCGTCTGGAGTAAATTAACTTGAACGATAAAAAAATGGAGAGGGAATAGGAAGGATAATGGGACGATATGTGAAGGCTGTTGTTGGAGGATGTCTATAGGTACGCCTTCACCTTTGCTTGATGGGTTGTATTTAAGCTTGGGACGAAAAGGTAACAGGAGAGAACCTTAAGAGCGTATAAGGTTAAGGTACCTAATTGTAGTTAAGGTATGCACTGAACTACCGGCGACCTGACACTACTAACCTTAGTAAGGTTAACATACTAACATTAAAGTACTTCTTACCGGTTAAGTGCACACTGTACGGCATATGCAAGATATGAATAGTCTCTAGCAGAACCAGTGGTCCCCATAATTCAGCGCCATCAACTTACTAAATCCACTTTCAAGGCACTTGCCTTACGCTAAGCTTTATCTTATCCGATAGCGATTAGGATAATGGGTCTGTGGGTACATTATGTAGGATGTATTCTCCCATGTACCTTAACCAAAAACGCCACTGGCATTTCTTATCGCGCCTGTCGCATAACAACCTAGAGGTATCCAACAACCAACTTCTAAAATCAATTACTCAAATATTTATCCTGCAATTCACTCTTTTAATTCCTCAAATACGTCAATCCTCGCATACCCCAACTCTCCTTCTACTCGCAGTTCGAGCAAACTCTCATCTCATACAGCACAGTCCTATTATCGTATAGTTACCACATTCTTCACCATGGGAAACGATGGCGGCTCCATCCCCAAGCGGCGCGAGCTCGTAAGAGAAGCCGCCCGACTGCCTACCGCCTCCGAATTAAAAGCCACGGCTTTAGAGTCTCAAACACACGCCTGGACAATGTGCCCCTTATCCGACGCGCCACTCGATTTCTCCAACACGGTGTCAGACTGGCGGGGGCGACTCTACAACTACGAATCTGTGTTACAATGTCTGATGCCCTCATCTTCCGAGACGCCCGTATCAGAGACTCAAGAATCTGAGTTTTCTCGTACGGGAATAAAGAGCCTGAAAGACGTTACGAAACTCAAGATTACAACAAAGAAGGATGAGAAGGGACGTGAGTTTGCAGCCTGCCCCGTCAGCATGAAGGAGCTAGGTGCTGCCACCAAGAGCGTGTACATTGTCCCGTGTGGCCACGTCTTCGCGGAGGTGACTATGAAAGAAATATCCGACACCGAGAAGCAATGTCCTGAATGTAGCTCATCTTTCGAGAAGCGAGACGTCATACCCATACTACCGACGGACGAGGCCGAAGTAGAGAAGCTGGCTAAAAGAGTTGACGATCTAAGAGCATTGGGTTTGACGCATAGCTTAAAGAAGGATAAGAGTGCCGGCAAGAAGAAGCGCAAGGCCGATGATGTGAAGGAGAATAAAACAAGTAGCGAACAGAAAGAGAAAGATACCGGTAAGACGGATAAGAGTAAGGAGGATAAGAATGGCATCGCAAGTCGGATAAATAATCCCATGACTGCATCTCTCACTGCGAAAGTACTGGCTGAGCAAGAAGAAAGGGCCAAGCGAAGGAAGATGGCGGATGGATATAAGAGGAGCGAGGCTGTGAGATGACATACCAAGATAGATACCCAAGAGAATTAACGTGTAGTTAGTCGACTGATACCACAAGCTATAAAGAAAGTTGATATATTCGCATATTAGTGATTCTATTCGTATCTTGTTTGATGTAAGGGCTCTTTCTCGGAACCGAGCTGATCGTATATCGTAAATTCGTATCTAATTTGCAATAGATGCCTCCAAAGAATTGATTCTAAAGCGCTAACTTATAGGTACAAGGACCACATCACAATTCGTCCTTAGCATGGCCAGGCTCTACTGACTCTTGGCAGACAGCAGGTGTGCCCACTTCCATCTTGTAAACACACTTCTCCAACTCGCTGACCCGCCATAACTCTTCGGTCTCGGCACAGGCAAGCCAAACGTCTGTCTTGCGGTTGGGACCATTCCAGCAGCCCTGGCCATTTTCGTACCTTAGAACCACGCGCTTGCCCCGACCTAGGCCCTTACCGTCATGACGCTCTTCCTCGTCCGCCTCATCAAAGTCGAACCGGTTGAAGTTACCCATGGTGGTCTTTCCTCCTCCCTTCTTGCTCTTCTGGCTTGTCTTGTCCAACCAGCATAGTTCGTACTCGTACTCGCCGGCCTCAGTTGTAATACACTTACCCTTTAGATACCGGAAGATATCGTCTTGGCCGTAGTCCTTCTGTAGGTCTTGCTGTTGCTCTTCTAGCGTCCGCCTCTTGGCGTTGACATCATTGGCGACAGAGTCGTGGGCCTCCCGAGCAGCCCTAACGAGACGAGACTCGCTCTTTTCAGAACTCGTATCAGCCAACATGCCATTTTCGATCAGCCATATCCGGAGGGAGTTGATCTTGTCGTGAAGGAATTCACGAAGCGGACCAGGGAGATAAGCCTCGAAACTGTATACTACGTTGAATTAGCTTATGCACAAACATAAAAGGCCCGGGCATTTCTAGAGACATACAAATATCAGTGTCTGTTGCCTCGTCTTCCTCGAACTCCTTCCAATTAATGCCAGACTCCTCACTATCTTCCTTCATGACTTCTGTAATATCATTTTCGTTGAGCTGTTCCTGGGCTTCTCCGGCCTTCTTGGCGGCATAATCTTCCCAGGCTCTAACAGCCTTCTTGACACCTTCGTCGTTGAAATTGGGGTTGTATTCCTCCTTGAACGCCGCTAGGATGCTTTCCAGCTCCTGAACCTTGGCTGTGAGTTTGTTACGCTCGCCCATGACTTTGCTCAAGGTATCTCGTAGCTCGTTGACTCTCGTCTTAGCCAGTCCAGTAAGTACGCCGAGCTTTCCGGGCCCTTCATTCTTGACGACTTTGAAGCGCTCTTGGCGCTCGACCTCGTCTAGCTTATTTTTCAATTCGTCCCGCTTGACTTCGAGCTCCTTGATTTCATCTGTGAGACTGGCAATCTTGGCCTCGACCCGGCGGCGGAGTTCCTTAGACTCCTTCACCATAGTCCTCCGGCGCTTATTAGCTCTCTCCAGATTGTCTTTTCGCTCCTTTTCTATTCTTCTCCATTCTTTACCGATTTCCGCACACTTGTTCTCGCATTTAACTCCACCAACATTTCCGTATTCCTCACTGCCATCGCAGCAAAGATCGTAGTCGCAGACACCATCGTTTACGTACATAAAAGGGACATATGTACCGATATGGCCCTTGTTGGCACACCAAAAGCCGGGTAGAGCATTTGTGGTGTTTGTAGTACCGGAGAGAGAAGCAGGCAAAGGTTGCTCCGGGGAGAAACGATCTAGTAGAGCACACGCGGCAGTGCCAGGTTCGTCTGTGCCATCAGGACAGTCACACGAGTTATCATTGACTCGAGAGGCAGGGATAGTTATCGAAGGGTGGCCTATGCATGTGAAGGTATCTTTGGTTTCGTAGAATTTCATAACTACGGATTCAATTAGTCAGTATAATTAATTGGACTTTCAACTCCATGCAGTTTATATGGTCACAATTATGTAAAGAGTTGAGGAAATATAAGAATATAAGAGTACTTACATTCAGGACCAACACCACGTGGTAAGGAACCAGCCGTGACGAACCCATTCTGAGCTATGATGCCCAGAAGCACCAAAGCCTGAGATTGGCGCATCTTTATGGGGGTGAAAGAGGGAGGGAATTATTCATGGACGGAGAGTCAATTGAAATTTTGAAGCTTTGAAGCTTCTTGGGAGAAGTTTAACGTTTTTAACGAAAAGTTAAGAACATTAGGTACATAAAAGTTAGTTAACATAAAAGTTAACACGAAAGCATCTCCAGCATTTAGCATTTAGCATTTCGGTCCCCACTACAGCTGGCAAAGCTTGGCAATAATCTTGCTTTAGGGCTCCCTGCTAACGTTACGTGGGGGAAATGAATCCTTGTCCCCCGTTATGTAATTAGCCACATGTCAATGTCCCAGCGCTCTGGGGTAAGTCACCCAAGTACCCAAGTACCTTAAGTATAAGGTACATGTACCTACCAAAGACGCATCACCTAAAAGGAGTGAGAAAGCGATATTTTCTCTACTAAAAAATCCAGGACATAAAAAGGAAACATCTTGTTCATGAGAAATTTGATAGATACATCGGAGGAGTAATATGTGTCCGAGTTCAACTTTCTAACTTGGCTGAGAAAGACACTAGCTGGTCTGCTTAAAAATAGGGGCTCGAGAGTTGAAGCACCAGAATATTAATTAGAATGATAAAACCCCTATACATTAGAAAGGTGATGTCAACATCCAGGGCCGTCATACTATTCGTCGAGAATTCAGGGTGTCACCCTATCTCCTTAATCATCTGTTATATGGAAAATATCAAGAATCTATCGTTCGATTAAATCCTGTCCCCCTTTCTACCCGTAACAAAAGACGTAAAATAATTGAAAACAATACGGCAAGATACATCTATCCTATTCTTACTAGGATATGATAGGCAATCTTACATTCCTATACTGTACAACAACTCCTAGTTAAGCCGTGTATGATAGTCATTAAATATTTGACGAAATACCAGGTTGGATCTCTTCTAGTTTATCCACAAGTTCACTGAAAAACTTCTTTTGAACCTTTTGACCCCATTCCCCAGTGACGTGGCACGCGGGGCTTTTAAAGCGGTTAGACAGAGATACTGCAATAAAACGGGTATAGAACTACTTACACTTCGATATGACAGTTTTGCAGATACTGACCATTGGTTTCTTGGCCAGCCAGCAAGCCATGGACCAGAACACGGCTACCTTCTTCGGTAGATCGAGCTAAGAGCTTCTCGAATATCTTAAAGCCAAGGCTTCCTTGAGATTCTTTTGCTAGGTTAGACTTGCAGAAGCTTGGATTCGGCGTATTAATGATGCACGCTCCCTTTCCGGAAGAACTGGTCCTTTCGGCAAACTCGCGCACGGCGTAGAGAACGAGTACCTTGGTTAGAGCATACCGGCCAGCCATATTGGCTTTCTGGGGGTCATTCAGCCGGTCGATAATCCTAGGACCGTCAGGGTCCAGCTCAGCGAGCGGAGCACTGTAGTGCAGCGCACTGTTAGGGATCGTATAACGGCAGACGTGCCCTGTACTCTGCCCAGATTCGCGCATTTTTGGCAGGAGGAGCAAGTATAGCAAAAAGGTGCTGATGACGTTGACATTGAGAGTCTTTTCGTTGTGTTCGCTCAAGCTGAATTTGGCAGTCATAACACCGGCGTTAGCTAACACGCCGTCAAGGCGAGGAAGTTGAGAGGCACGGTTCGCAAAAGACTTGATCGAATCGTAGCTATCCATGTCTATGGGCCATACTTCGATAGAGGACTCGGGTCGGCCCATAGAATTGAGTATTCTCTCCCTTGCATCATCGCCTTTGGCTATAGTTCTTACGGCCATAATCAGTTTCCCGACACCAAGTCGTGATAGATGAATGCAGGCTTCGAATCCAAGGCCGGTATTAGCGCCGGTCACAATAATAGTTTGATTAGAAAGCTTAGGATTTCCACTTGGGACTGGGAGCTTCACGAAAGCCTTTGAAAAGATGACGGAGCCAACTCCATATAGCGCTGAAAGGGCAGACATAGTTATTCGAGGGCTTATTGAGGTTGTTTCTTATTGCTAAGATGAGAAATATATCACATCCCAAGGAGCTATTTTATATTCCATTTTGCCAGGTCCTCTCCATGGGCTGTGTCATGTCGGGCATTTCCACTTACACGGGTTTTATACGTCCCTTCATCCATGGCGTCTAGTTCGTATTATCATCACCACCTATGTCACTTACATGTTGACGTACGGAGGATTCTGATTGGGTCGGGGCTTGTACGCCTCATCTCTGTCCGCTAGCGGGGATAATATCTCCGCGCCCTTCACCCTCCCTGCCTCCTTTGTACTCTATGTAAGCTCCGGCCCCACTGCCATAAGGCGGAATACAGCCACACAACCCGCCGCCGTACTCTACCTAGCGCATATAATATCTCCGACCCACTACCTAATGGGCTTTGCGGATTCCTTCTTAGGCGTGAGAATGGACTCTTTACATCCGGATATGATAAAACTTCTCCCCATTCCTATAACTGCTGTATAGGAAACGAACCTTTGGACGAATTCTATCCTTCCATGGCTAGCATTGACATCGGCCGTAAAAAGGTGGAAAAAAGGAACCGCCCACCTGTTTCTTGTGAACCATGTCGGACTAGAAAGTATATTATATCCATGTGCCCTTAACGTCACTATGTACCAGATAGATGTGCTTACGTGCTTCTTGTAGGCTGAAGTGTAACCGAGGTTCACCATGCGACTCCTGCATAAGACGGGATAAGGCCTCACTTTGCAACTATGCGGCCAATGCTAGTCGAAGTGAGCCAAGTAATAACAGGCCGCGCGACTTGAAAGACAGACTCAATACGCTAGAGAATTTGGTATCTTCTTTACTGTCGGGCGATGCTGTGGTTCAGCCGGGACTGACTACCAGGAGAGAGCTCTTCACGAAAGACGCTGAGGATATCATATCACCAGCAAGACCGTGTAATAAGCCCACAGACCATGACTCGGGTTTTACCAGCCAGAATGCAGGAGAAGACGCCCTTACCCCTGAGACTCCCCACCTTCAGGAAACCGCGGATGGTCAAGTGAACTATATCGATCCTAGCCATTGGCTATCTATCTTGGACGATATAAAAGAGGTTCGAGAGCACTTATTAGCATCAAATCATCCTACATCACAAAATGAGAAAGGTTTCACCGCAGATCGCGTAGTATTGGACGCCAGTTTTCTACTAAGCTCAAACCAGGTTTCGAGCCTCGACGAGATTCTGAGCTCATTGCCATCCCAACCCATCTGCGATATGTTGCTTTCTTGGTATTTCGGTTCTAGATTCATGGTTCTAGGTGAGACCTCGAGCCCAACATATATGAACTAATCCACTAACTTGCACGATAACTAAGGTATTATACACCCGGACAAATTTCAAAGTGAAGTAAGTCTTCCATTCATACCATACGTGTAACTATAACTTACGAGAACATAGTACGCTTCATTTTGGGAGTCACCATTCACAACGCCGCCGCTTTGGGTAGCCCTTCTTTTCTCCGTCCTCAGCGTCTCGGTTAGCTTACGAAAGGTATCGAACATAAGAGAGCCCGAAGGGTTAATCCCCCATATAAGTATATTACAACAGAGAGCGCTGCAGTGTCTAGTTCTTGGGCGATATGCCACTGCAAATGCACATGCGCTCGAGGCATTTATACTTCACATCCAAAGCTGCTTTTTCAGTAACGAAGGTAATCCAGTTGATTTGTGGTTCGAAATGGGCACGATAATCCGGTTAGCATTCAGGATGGGTTATCACCGCGACCCAAATAACCTGACCGGCATCTCTGCCTTCGACGGTGAGATGCGGCGACGAGTCTGGGTCAACATATTCCAAATAGACGCATTGGTATCCTTCCAAATGGGCTTCCCAAGTATGATACCAAACGAATTTTGCGACACCGAGGTTCCGAGGAATCTAGAATACTCCGATCTCCATGTCGATATGACGGTATTACCACCATCGAGACCCCTTTCCGAGAACACTCACATACTTTACACTATCGTAAAAGCTAGCGTGATGGGAGTCTTCAAAAAGATTGTTGCGAATACACAATCAATCTTAGTTCCGGCTTACGACGAAACGATTAGGCTAGACGCTGAAATGAACCAAGTGTATAGCATGGTTCCAGAGCTTTTGAAGCGACGGGATGTCAACCGTTCTTTTATAGACCATCCTTGTCTTATATGGCAACGATGTACGATAGAGATGCTATACCTGAAAGGTCTTATCGTACTTCATCGACGATACATCAGTTATGAGTTAAGAAGCCCTAGATTTGAACAATCACGGCACGCGTGCGTCGAAGCAGCTCTCGATATCGTTTCCCGACAGATAGATATACACCAGGCGTGCGAGCCTGGTGGACGATTATACGGGGACAGATGGATGTTCTGTTCGCTATCGGTGCATGATCTTCTATTAGCTTCCATGGTTCTCTGTCTGGATTTGTCCGTTCGTATGCGATCCCGAAGTGGAGTCTTGACCGAGAGGAGAGATACGCAGCAACTAGCAAGTAGAGAGTATCGGGCGCTCCAGGAGTCTCAACGGATATGGGCAGATAGCAAAGCAGCTTCACCTGATGCACAGACTGCTGCGCTCGCGCTTGACTTGATGATCAAGAAGGTTGCACAAAATGATGTCGGCCTTTCTCTTGCGGAGGAAACTATTTCGTCAGGGGTCACGAATCCTATTATCGATTCAGAATTGCCATACGCGGCTACCATGTCACAGATGATAGACGGATCTGAGAGTATTGATTGGGTAAGTAGGTACCTACTAAACAAGAACGATGCGGAACTAACTTTCTAATGACAATGATAGAGTCTATTAGACCAATATTTGCAATATTGAGCATGGAGTATGCGCGACAAGAGGGCTGCAGGAGTTCAGTCTATTTATTCAATGCCGTAATAAGGACTCCCCAAATATTGCGACCAGGTCAAGGGTGAATACTACAATGATTCAAATTAATGAAGACGCACAAGTGGTAGTTCTTATTAGCGGAGTGCCTCTTACAGTCACTCGCTGACAATACCTGAATTTGGCCTGTTATAAACTTGAGTGGGTATTATATAATAATATAAAAGTATCAGTAGCAATACCATTTAATATACTTGAATGTATGGGTTGTCTTCTAATCAAAGCTTCTATAGTGTTTGCTGACATAATAACGTGCTTTGAAGATAGATGAGTCTTGTAAGACTTGGCTATAACTCGACGACTCGAGGTTTGACAAGTGTAACATACATCTTGTAATACATCTCGTAAAGCTCTTTAACAACTACCTGTTACACAATAATTAGTAGTCAAAATTATACAAAGCAATAGTTAAAGTCTCACATCCGTCTTTAACACCCAAACACCACGCAGGTGCCGAACAATAAACCCGGGGAAATGCGGGGCGACTCTCCAGCGGCTAATCCGAGCTCGAAGTTTGATATGTACCTTGGCTAAGACAAGACAAGCAGGATAAGGCAATGGTGGTAGTTTGGTTCGGGGGTAAGGTAGGGAGGGTCTACGTAACTCCCCCACATCATCCTAACTCGCTATTCCCTAATAATCATAGCCTCATACCAGATAGACCCTTGACCCTCCTTTCCCCTGAACATGGCAAAATGCTATTTACTCTCTCCGGGCTTTAGGCGTAGTGTATTGTACATACATAGTTGTATGACCCCTGTCCTTCACAAACTGCCGTCCTGCACTATGTAATAGCCCCCCCATCCAATGGACTAGGTTAGGTAGGCAAGTTAAAATCCCGAGGTCACCTTTCGGCTGTACTGTTGGCGCGTCGTGACGCTTCCTTCTTTTTTTCTTAAGATGACTTCTATCAGAATATCGGCCGTTACGATGACCTGGCGGTAAGGATTAGATCTGAAATGCAATACCAACTTGTCTTTTTCTCGATTTCCCGCGATAACTAGTAGTATTATAGAATCGTGTTTAGTGCGCGATATACACACCTAAGCTTCCGCTACGTCCTTTTCTTTCCTTAGTAAGATACTGGTTTAGTAGTAGTAATTCTTAGAGGAAGGATGGCAGCGATTGGTAAGATATTGGATGTTTCCTATGGCTTCACACGTAGAAGAAAACTGACTGACCAGCGCAGCTGCGGCGTCGATAGCTGCTACTGCGGCCGGTCTCACGTATCTCGACGGCAAATTCCATCTGCGACAGGATTGGCAGATCATCCGTGCAAAAAAGCAGGGCAAGAAGCTCCTTCAGAAAGCCAGTGAGTCTACTTTCTAAACACTGCTACCTGGATATGGACACAGCTTACACAAACCTCTTCCGCATATGCAGTCCAAGAAAAGCGCGTCTCGTCCTACTATTTCTTCGAGAAGCACGCACAGACTAAACCCAGTAAGGAGTGCATCTGGTCGCGTCAGGGCAGCTTCACCTATGCTGAGACTTACTACCGCGCCAACCAATACGCTCAGTGGTTTTTACATCATGCTGGTGTCAAGCCTGGTGATCTCGTCGCCTTCTTCATGGCTAACAGTCCCGAATTTGTCTTTGCTTGGATGGGTTTACTAGCTATTGGTGCAGCCCCGGCCCTCATTAACCACAATTTAACTAAGCAGGCCCTACTGCACTGCCTGGGTATCTCCGAAGCGAAGCTTGTGCTGGCTGATGGCGCGCCTCAACTACTAGAGCGTCTCGATGCAGTTAAGGATGAGCTGGCTGCGCAGGGGGTGAGCATTGTGAATCTGGCTGATGTCAAACACGAAGTCAACGCGACGAAGGGCGAGCGGCCATCCGACGAGCTACGCGAGAACGTCCGGCCTGATTCGCCATTTGGTCTGTTTTATACTAGCGGCACAACCGGGTTACCCAAAGCTTGCATGCTGCCCGCGGCCGCCAGCTTCGGGTACGGTGTCAGCAGGGACTGCGGTTTCTCGTACGTTAAGGGTGACGACCAGCGCTACTACGACTGCATGCCTCTATATCACGGTACAGGAGGTATTAGTGGCATGACGCAGCTGCTAACGGGCCAGACACTATGTATTGCGCCCAAGTTCAGCGTCTCGGGGTTCTGGGATGACATTCGAGATAGCCGAGCTACGTGGTTCGTCTACGTCGGCGAGACGCTGCGATATCTACTAGCAGCACCGCCGTCGCCACGGGACAAAGAGCACAATGTGCACTCCATTTACGGCAACGGCCTGCGTCCGGACGTCTGGAAGCCGTTCCGTGATCGTTTCGGCATCGACACCATCTTCGAGTTCTTCAACTCGACCGAGGGCATAATGCCGCTAGATAACCCAGCCCGGGGCGACTTCCGCGCCCATGCCGTCGGCCACCACGGTTTCTTGGAGCGATGGCGTTTCTATAATGTCTACGTGCCCGTCGAGATTGACGTTGACACAGGAGACATTGCGCGGGATCCTAAGACGGGCTTTGCGCGACGCGTCCCTTACTCGGTTGGCGGCGAGATACTTGTTACGCAGCCGCCTACCATCACACCGGCTTTCCCAGGGTATTACCGTAACGAAGGAGCGACATCGAAGAAATACGTGCGCGATGTATTCCGTAAGGGCGACTTATATTACCGGACGGGTGATGCGCTGCGGCGAGACGATGATGGACGGTGGTTCTTCCTAGATAGATTAGGTGATACGTTCCGTTGGAAGGGAGAGAACGTATCCACGGCCGAAGTGTCCGAAGTGCTTGGCCGATTTCCGGGTGTAGGTGAAGCGACCGTATACGGTGTATCTTTGCCGAATCACGACGGGAAGGCCGGCATGGCGGCTATCTACATTGACCCGGCCGTCAAGACTTTTGACTATAACGGATTGCTGAAGTAAGTCTAATATTTCCTTTCCCCCTTTTTGAACTCTTCCTCCTCCCGCCTCCCCGCTTCCGCATCCCAACAAAACGCCTCCAATCCTCCCGTATATCACATGTCCAATACAAATGAACAGGCAGAGTATCAACATATGCACGTACCCTTCCTCCAATCTCAGGAAATATTGGAAAAAGCGCCACCTCGCTCACTTTACTAACTGCAACCCTCGCCGGAAATAGACACGCCCGTGCCCATCTCCCTAAGTATGCCGTACCCATCTTCGTGCGCCGCATTCCCGCGCGCTCCGCTACCCACAACAACAAGCAAGATAAAGTTCCGCTCAAGCGCGCCGGCGTCGACCCAGCTCAGACTTCGCCTGACCCTGTTTTCTGGGTTCCTGACCACGCCAAGGGCGGCACCGCCTACGTGCCATTTACGCAGCAGGACTGGGACGCGCTGAAAGGCGGTCGGGCCAAGCTATGATGAATCGAATGCGAGTCAAGCGCATCTTTAGATCTCAGTTAGATAGAACCACGTGGAATGAAATGCCTGATGAACTGGGTGGGCTATGTATATAATATGAAAACTAGCGACGTTGCTTTATATATACGGAGATATAGTCTAAGCTCACAAAGGACAATGCATGAGCGGGGGGATATTAGATCGATATGTAACTCAAAGTACTTGCTGTGATATATATACGAAGTGCCGACTAATACCGGTTACGCCTCACCGGCTAGTATGAAAGCAGTTACGTCGTTAGCTTGAGATATAAAGATCCCGCGTAACATAATTACTTGCCTCTACCGCACCTCGTATTCTCTGAACTTTGCGAGGTCCTCGTCCAATGGGTATAACTCATCGCGATGCTAAAATATATATTAGGTTAGGTTAGGTTAGGTACATAACCTCCCATATTTGAATCATGTCGACGTGGGTATAACTCATTTCGCAAATAGTAGCGTCATAAAGGACATGAATATGTAGAGCAGGGTTTACAATTATTTCCTCCTATGTGCTGACGCCAGGATCTTAAAGTTTATTTTCAAGAGATGTCCGTCGATGAGTACAACGCGCGGGCTGTTGGGCTGGTACTGTCGATTCCTAACTGGGTGCAGACCGTCTCGGCCACTGCTCCGAGGTGTAACCAAAAGGTCTAGCCGTGTCAGACGGCATTTTTATGCGAGGGAAGAGGTGTCGACGTACTTACTCGGTTCCGATGTCTTCGCTCTTAGTATTGAAGGCCCCGGCGTTGATCTTTTTGACGAGCTGGGTGATCTACTACTCCCTGATCTCGTAGACTTGATAGCATCATTGCTAGGCGTCCGACGCTCTTTCATAGAACGGGGAATGACCTTCTACGGCTATATATTAGCAGGGGTATATCATACTCTAGGCTTATGGGCCTAACGCACATCGCTTTCACCGTCTGAAAGATTCCAAGGGTCCTTGTTCGCCACCAACTCGGCATAGTCTGGGCGAGGTACGCTCCTGGGCGTGCGGCGCGGTTTCTCAGCCTCTATTTCCTCCTCATCCGACTCATTGGTTTCATTAGCCACTGTAGGATTCCGGGATTTGCTAGATGGTGTATAATTCTTGTCGTCCTCCTTGCTCTTTCGAACATTAAGAGTATCTGCTGCTTGGATATTCTTAGATCTCGACCTCCCGGGAACGACTGGACACATTAATAGTTATTCTAATGAAGCGTTCAAAAATGAACTAGCCTCTCCTAGGTGGGTAACAAGGACGTGTTTACCTACAGGTGTGCGGCGATGGACCAAGATGTTCCTTAATCCAGTACTTGCTAACCAGGCTGGAACCTTCAACTGTAGGCAACGATTAGTATGGCAAACCCTCCTCCTATATAACTATGCATAATAAAATTACTCACTTTCGCATGCGAAGTTTTCGAAAATATACTCGTTAGTGAGTTCTTCGCCGTCTTGTCCCGTTTCGCCGTGACTTTGGAAATGCTTCAAAGCTCTGTTATATGCTAGAGGCGGGTCCGTGAAGAATCCCGTTTGGCAGTTGGACCTGTTACATCTTATGACGAAGAAGCCTTGACGTTCTGCATGACGGAAGATGCGCTCCCCCGTCTCCAAGTTCGGGAATGCGATCTTGCGGAATATATCCGATTGAGATCTACTCAGACTCTGGTCATATATTAGCCGGTCAAGTAGCAGCATAACGTGATTGCTCCAGTTCGTCCTTACCTTTCCGCCATCTACTCTCCGTCGCTTCCCACTTGCGGCGCTATCGCTATCTGCGCTGACCCTCTTAGGAGCTTTGTTAGTCATGGGGTTTTCGGATAGGATCTGACTCTGTATCTGGTGGTCGAAATTCGGGCCTACGTTCGGCGACACGTTAATATTGGTAGGACTTGAAGAGTGATCTTTGATCGAATTAGAAGCTCCTTGGTCGTGAACTTGCGACGCCGATGGAGGAATGCTTGATAAGACATTTGCGCCAAGAACAGTGCTAAAATAATTATCGCGAACCGGTGACATAAAAGGTGTTGGGGGTCGAATAGTCAGAGTCGAAGCACTGGGAATGACGCTCAGATATTTGGGGCAAACGGGGATAAGCTCCGAGACGGTACTCTCGATAGTATCAGGGTCGACTTCGAGCAGTTGTAACTTCTTGCGCAGACCTAGGATTAACTTCTCCTTGTCTTGTTCATACGCCTGACGCTCTCTGTCAACCTCCCTGAGGAGAGCTCTCAGCTTTGGCACGTGGCTCCGCGCCAACTCATCATCTCGCTCGCGGGTCAATTGCTGTAATTCTTTCTTGACATAAGAAGAGGCGAAATCAGAAATAGCATTGTTGAGCTTGCCGACAGGGCTGCCATGATCGCCCGGTGGCGTCTCGTCTGCCATCTCAATCCAGGGATTGAATGATCATGAAACCGCTACGGATGTATAATTGGACATAGATGGCGTTTGCTTCAACCACCAACCGCTGATCAGCGACTACCGATTAGTACCTAGATCTTCTAGTTCTAAGGGTAGGGCTTGAATCTGAAGAGGTGGAGAGAGGGGATAAAAAACCCCTGCTTCAAACTTCAAATTGAATTCGAAAAAAATGATAGAAATAGAGAGATAAAAGAAGGATCAAACGAATAGATGATTAAACGATTAAACGGAAGAATTCAAATGATCTGGGCCCGTTTGGCCAGAGCATAAGAAAAATAAGCGACACATGCAGCTCCAGCTCTGTTCTCCGCACGAAGCGAAGCGCCTGTACCGTAGAACGCCGCAGAATAAACCCGCCGAACACGCAAGACCCCTAGAGATGCGCACCGGGCCGTACCCCGAATAATTTTGGGCTTGATACCGCAGTGTGACGGGAAAAGTTGTAGCCAATCACAAGTAGCGGTTAGGTACTCACAAATATGTTGGTAATATGTTGGTGCCGTAACCCGAATGGAAACGGATTGATTTTCGGAGATAAGGCGAGACGAAGAAGTAAAAGGTCTGGTAAAGTAGAAGTTGAAAAGAAAAACAAAAGTAGGAAACATTTAAAACATCGGATATAACGAGAAGAGGAGAGAAATTAACATTAGTAAAAAATAAACATGTGGAAGGTACCAAATAAATTTTTTTTTAAATGTTACACCATACTGTCCGAAACCTTATGTATTTTATGTACTACATATCTGGAGAAGAAAGCGCGAACGACCTTTTAAAAATTCAATTTATGCACCGTATCCAAGGTATTACATATCTAAAATGGACGGACCTTAAGCACGCCGCTTTAAGCCAATTTTCATGTTACACAAAAATATATAATACACCTTGTAAGATACCTCTAATATAATTATCGGTTTCCTACACACGTTATAAACGGATGGTTAAATCTTCTTCTTATTGTTAATAGATATGACTGTCAGCATTAGTTATACCAACCATCTTTTAAGTAGCTGACAAGTTGCGACCCGCGTAACTACTATAATTCGTATTATATATATCATATATCAGATGTAATGTTGCATCCCAGGTTCTAAAGACTATATGGCGTCAGAAGAAGAACTGCTTTCCCTCCGATCGATCACAGTCTCGACCGTGATAACTCCGAGCGGGACTTCGTCGACCCCATCACCCCCAGTCTTTCTCCCCACGGCGGCACGACACTCGGCGGCATACCCTTGAGACCATGGACCAAATGTTTCTCGATTAACTTCCCTGCTATATCCAAGGCTATTCATCTCAACACTATCTAAATCGTCTTCGAGATTCCTAAATGGTCTTGTAGAGCCGCGTGATATTCTAAAATCTTGGCTTTTGTTATCCTTTCCTATTTTGCCCCTATGCATCGACGTACCACCTATGCTCCGAAGTGCACGTATAGTAACCGGCGTTTTATTTCCCTCGACATTATCGTAGTTATGACCCAAAGATTGGCAAATCCATGTGAAAGGGCGCATTCTATGTAAGCCATTAAATAGCGGACCAAGCACAGGAAGGCAACCGCAAATAATCGCTAGGTCGGGCTCTAAGGCGGTCCATAAGATTAGACTGGTATAAACCACTATGTTTATTAGCTATGTTCCGAATTAAATATTCAGAGATATGGTTATTACGAGTATAGTCTGTAAATGTTTCATAACTCAGCTGGATTTGGTATCGTAGTCGGATCCCACTTGCAGCAATTGCGCCTGTTCCAAGTAGAAAAATAACAGACAACGTGGCACGCTGGCTACGCGTGAGGTGCAAGTTCATGATCTCGTATATGGGTAGGCATAAAATTGCGATATCCGTGACAATATTAGGAATCATCATCCCCGCGAAAAATGCGGAAGATTCAATACAATGGCCGATTATGGCAGGGCTGGATGACTTCTTAACTGGAGTGCACTTGAAGGTCTCGACTAGGACGTAAGCGGCCCACCACACTATGGTAATAGAGCCCAAGACAAGACGCCCTATATTCATCAGCCTTACCGGAAAGATACGCCGGTACATCGTCAGGATGCTGAGCTTCGTAGTCAGGATAGTCGTAGCATAGATCCATTGGCTGGCAAAAAATATCTTAGGCAAATGAGTTAGCATAATTATAAATATATCTTCAGAATCCTAATGTAATATAAGTAGGCTCGCCTTAGAGTAGATAATGGCTCCTTGAGATTCAGGTTTAATAAGCAGAACGACAAGAGCGTACTGCGCCCACGAAAATACCTAAACAATATCAGTAAATCGGTTTCGTCGGGGTTTTGAAAAGAGTTATAGAGATTGAGATGTGTTAATTGCTTAATGAGACAAGATCAATGACTTACAAGAGAAACTATACTCAGCCAGTCATCAATTCCGACACCAGAAGGACGGTATATCCTCATAAAAATACGAAGACCAACGGCAAAGGTTACAATCACCGAGACCGGGGTCAATATGTGAAGTAGACGAGGACCATAATCCACCTCAAATAACGAAAGTGAATTTGAATCCGATGACATGTCGGCTAATTTACTGATCTATGAATTCTTTCAAGAAGTGGATAGGGGTAGAATAGCTATAATTTTAAAGTAGCGGAAAAGGGGAACTTGAATATTTGGGTTTCCAAGCACGCCCCCTAGGCATAGATGCACGTTAATTTCCAATAGAGTACGGTTCCGAACGCCCATACTGAGTTACACGGGACAGCGTCTCATCTATGTATAGATTTAAGGTATACTTACCTAGGCAAGCTCAATATCATGTGTCACCATCGCCGTTTTCACATAAGGCCGTATTTTTAGGAGACTACGCCACTATTGCTTAGCTTCCTTCCTACACAAGAAATACGGGAGATCGACAAGAAAAGAGAACTAATTAAGCGTGTGACAGCAAGTAGACGCCTGTGTAACCACACTTGGCTGCGGATGAGAGACAACTGACCGCCACATCGTTCGATATATGTATAGAAGTTTGCCATGACCCTTCTTTAAATACGACCGGGACTCTGTTAACCCCTCGAATTAACCCAGGTAGATATTCGCCGGAACTATGATTTTATTGGTCTTAAAATTACTGATCATTAGATATCTGACGTATGATTGCGATTCTTGTAGGCTTTTAATGCGGTGTTAGGAGACAGGCGTTATTTTAGAGCCTTCCTATGGAAACATTAAAAGTTGTAATTGTATCTTGGCGTGGCAATGAGTTCGGTAGCTTGCGCCATGTCTTAAATATTGCATTTAGCCCGAGTTTATTTCGGATCCGAGACACTGGTGGCTGTTCGCTTTCGCATCGAGTTCGGACAATTAAAGGGGGTGATATATACCTGTGTAGGGTGCTGCTTCAAAACCACCAGCACGTAACCTACCTACCTACCTAGGTAATGTATAAACTACAAAAAGAACGGGATCATGTAAACACGAGCCATTATATAGGTAGCTAATAAATTGTTTCTACTTATAGATATATGTGTATACCTGTACCGGCGTGCACGAGGGTGCGATAGTCAGCGCCAATACCCATATGTAGGTACCTCCTATATATATATATTTTTTTCTAATCAACTTGTCTTCTAAAACTGTACGACGCTATTACATTGACTTTTTGACCTGAGCTCCTCTGACTGGAATATAAGCATATTGCCATTTATACTAAGAGAATTCACTCGGATAATAATCATATAGTTGAAGCAATATGAAGATCAGTTGATTCTAGTGGACGAAATCATTAGTTCCTCCGCCATCTTGGTGTATTATGGTAAATGGAATCGGTTCTATATATGAGTAACTCATCAAGTTGAAACAGCATTAGGACGGCGCTTGAAACATTTACTGCCGAAACTACCTCGTCTTGATCTTCCGGTACCGCACCACCTCCTTGCCGTCGTCCTCGACGATCCTATGAGCTTCGATCCTGTATCCACCGATCGCCGGCCAGAGCTTAGACCAACATGCCCAGTATACTGCACCTAGAAGTAAAACGCCAACTCCGACGACGGGGAATATAAAATAGGGGTAGCCGTCAGCATTCCAGTCTCCAGACGGCGGGACGAAGGGGACAATAGCAAGGAAGATATTGGCCAAGAGATAGATGACGCTAATCGGTAAATATGTGTGCCAAGGCGATGTCCAATTCTCCGACTTGTTGTAATGAAGATAGATAAGGCCGGCGGTGACAAAGCCGTTGATCCAAGCGCCAGGGTAGGTATATAAGTTGACGACAAAGTTGTAGGCGGGGCCTGCGGGGGGAGCGATGAGAATGATCACTGTGATAAGCCAGTGAAGGAAAAGCTAGGTGGTATATCAAGTTAGTCGTCATATAATTAATGAGAAATATTGAAGATGAATAAGGTACTCACAGCAGCAGCTGGCGCATCAAACGGCTTGATAGACGCCCAGAACTTTCCATACGGTAGAAGCGCTTCTTTTCCAAATTCCTGGTTGAGTCGAGCGTGGGCAAAACTCACGGCCAGCACGTTGCCCAGGTTGCTCAGTGCAACAAAAGCAGGGAGAGCCCGTGCGGCAGCACTATCACCAAAAACGTTGCGAAAGAATAGGCCAGCCACCAATACCTCAGAAGTAGCGAGGTCGTCCTTCGTTATCGCCGCGAAGTAGGCCACGTTGGCCAAGACATACAAGATGGTGACGCCGCCGATGGCGATGGGTGCTGCAATCGCGAGGGTCTTGCGGGGATTCTTCAGTTCTCCGAGCACGTAGTTGGCGTTCTCCCAGCCCTTGTAGCTGTAGATAATCTGCAATAGTGCTGTCGCGTATCCGTATGCGCCCTGGCCGCCATAATTCTCCGTCACCTCGATGGCGAACGCGTTCTTGAAGTTACCGGGCGGCGGGATGAGAAGTCGACCGGAGATAGCGGCGAAACCCGAAAACACGATGAAGACCACGATGACCACTTTAAATATTCCTAAGAGGTTTACAAGCCTCAACCCCCATTTGGGAAAAATCGAGTGGAGCGCGACGGCGAAAGTAATACACGCGATTGCGATACCACGGGCCGTCCAACCATCTCCTTCTGTGCTTCCGGCGGCAGCTAAGACATATCGGCCGAATGCGAGGGAGTTTCCGGACGAAAATCCCAGAAGGATCATCTGTGATGCCAAGACACACGAAGCTAGGTAACGCGGGTGTCGGTAGACACGTTCGAGATAGTTCTTCTCGCCGCCAGAGAGCGGAATAGCTAAACCGAACTCAAGGAATACGCTCAGACCGCAGAAGGTTAAAATACCACCAACAATCCATAATATTATTGATATACCAACTGATCCGGTTGCTGCGAAGATGGCCGAGGGGGTGGAGAAAACTTGGAATAACTGGTCAGTCTGTCTATTCGCAGCGTTTATGAAGTATGAAGTTGTTGGACTAATCAATAGCTTCACTTACTTCCGGTTCCGATCATCTTATTTAAAATTAGAAACACCGCTCCGGTAACACCAATCTTCCGTGAGTCGGAATAAGCGAACTGTTGAACTCCATCGTTAGTCGAGGAAGCATACTCCTCGTCCGTAGGAGCATTCAGCTCCCGTGTGTCGGGCTCTGTATCTTTCCCGACCTCTGTCGCCGATGACATCTTGGCTTAATCCCTAATATGACGGTCGCAAAAGAGCGGAAGTGAAAAAAACAACCGATACGCGCTCCACAGGAACTTAAAGGGAATATGTCTCCTTTTTAACTCGGGGCCGGTCGTATGTTACACATGTTATTCAAGGTTACGACAGCACAAGACCAGACAAGACAGGACAAGACAGGACAAGACAATTCCAAGCAAGTGGCACAGTTTATTAGGTTAGGTTCTAGAGCCTCTTGGGTTCGGGGAGGATCTAGGATCAGGAGATGAGCGTCTGCGTATAAGTAAATACGCCGGGGTAGCTGAGAATTCGTGAGATTCATGAGGTTCTTGTGGATGCTTGGCAGATAGCACGCCATCGCACGCAAACGAAACCTTGTGATCTTCGGGGTCCCAAGCAACAGTTTTCATTAGATTTCCCCGTCACCTTGACGCATGGCAATGTAACATTGCTTCTGATCTCAACCTTAAACCACAGGAAACCCGACATTTCGAAAACCTACGAGGGAATCACACAATCAAGCCTTTACGATCAACATGGAAGGTGGTTTACTTCCAAGCTTCCAAGAATTACATGCATACTAGAGATGTCTTGACGCAATTCCGTCTATCCGATCTCATCATTCATTCCAACTTAAAGCTGAAAGAGAGAGTCCCTTTCTGCTTTCTCTTACCTTACCATGACAACTCGTACGCGAACCTATCCTGTTGCCTGCCGCTGACCCGCGGCCCGGCCCTATTACATACTGGTCTTTTCTATGTAGAATTTCTTTTCAGCCCCATGCTACTGGCCGGGCCGATTGGCGGGTCCTCGGCCACGATGTCTAATAAGAAGAATCTTTAAGTCGAATATGCCTAGCCATAAAAAGGAAAGGTCCCTTACCTAGCCCATTGGCAGTTCCAACGTCCTCTTTTTTTTATAAAAAAAAGACTTGTTAGCGCTGGCTGTCGCATCTTGATCAACCACGAAGTCACAGCGCCATATGGCATTAATAACATGGCACTGACGTGAGGGTAAGAGTGTCGTTGGAGGACTAATGCTGCGGGAACTAAGTTAGTGACCTAGATCTAATACGAGCTCACGTTCTAATTCGTTACCGTGCTTACATGGAATGGAAATCGGCGCCTGACGTTATTCGTCGTCAAACTCTTCAATCAGAGGTAATAAAACAGACATACCCGATCTGCCCGGTTTGCCACGGCCTCAGAAACGCAGGTATAACTTATATATCTGTGGCAAATACTATATCATAGTAAGCTAAAGAAAAGCAGTAGATGTCATATCCCAATAACGAACCTGGTATCATGATTTTACCCCCTCCGTGTTCTATTCTTATCTAGCGCAGCTACGGAATTCCTATATTTCGATTTATTAGTTCAAAGTATAATCGGCATGTTCGCAGATCCTTCTTTGAGCTAGTCATCTCATCGTCGTCGACTACGCCCTCATCCAACCAGATCTTCAAGTTTCTCTATCCCTAACCAAATAATCGCCTCGTGATTGCCGAATAGATCGACTGCGAACTTTATACCACCAAATTCGCCTATTTTCTCTTTGCTTATATCGTCTGGAAGGATGGAATACATTGGCGCTGGCGGTGCTAATCTTCTAGGTATAGAACCTTCGCAGTCTACAACTACGGGATCGAATCTACAGTATCGACATTCTGAACACGGCTCGATGTCAAGGGCACGATCGGGCCCAGATATATAGATACCCTCGTCTTTATTTCCCCGAAGCGCGTCGAATGCCTGTTTTATTCGATCTTCTAGTTGTGTCTTGTAGACCGGCCAGGAGAGATGAAGTCGAAGTTGCTCGCGACGAGTATCGAGTGTATTGGATGCCCCGTCGGCCTTACTGTTGCGTGATGGACTGCTCTGTCTGCTTATTGGCATCCCCGACTGATCCTTTAAATTCTTCTCTCGAGCTCGCCTTGAAGGCTGGACTCGCGTCGGCGCTGTGGGCCACTTGCTGGCCTTCTTTGCTTTTAGTGTGTGCGTTTCAACATTGAGCTTGAAGTATTCATTTCCCCATAAGTGATATAAAGAACACTCTTTTAAGAAATGGAGTTTGCAATATGCTTGATATAAAGGCGGAGGCCAAAACCACGACGGATCCCCGTTCCAGTCATTAGCTAGCGAGCCTATTCTTGCACCACTGTCTGGCTCGATCATTACAACTTTTCGGCTGCGTATATCCTCGGCGTCGCTAAACATATTCCGCGCCATAGACATTACTTTAATGTTCGACGTTTTATGATCAAATAATTAACCGTTAGGTTGTGACCCGGATTATGAAATAATATTGTCGCGAATTAGTGGCAAAGCAGAAAAGTTGAGCTTACTTTAAATTTACATTTCTTTGTTATATGTGGTTTAGAGTAAACAATGCGTTGTTGCTATTACTAGCGAATCATGAAACACAATGGGTGATACTTCCGGAAGCATCTTTAAAAGGTTTGTCTCAGCTTATAACAAAGAGTAATTATAGAATATTCTATGCCTCTTCGGAGCTCAGTTACGGTTTGCTCTTATTAAAATATTATTCTATATAGTAATGAATATGATATTATCGTCTACCTAGCTTGAGTCGAAACATCCTAACAGCTTGACTCTTGGAGTGGAATACAGTACCTACAGTCTTAACACCACTATAATCATATGCCTATATAGTGCATGTGTCGTGTGTTTATAGATTCTTCTACGTGTCAAGTAATAGAGTTGAAAAGGGGCTCAACATATTACGTTTGAGGATAGCACATCTTATCCACTATACTATCTGGCCCCTATTTTCCTTCTACCGTTGTCTATGATGGTTTAGTAAATAGGCTTCCCACTGGCGTCGGTGACTGGCATGCCGCCGGGAAGCTCCGTGAGCCCTGATATTCTTCTGTTAGCAATGAACTTTTCTTACCAGTTGAAATACTTACACCCATCAATATCTTCATCTACCACTGGCTTTACTGAGCATTTATTGCCCTCTTTGATCTCTTGGTATTGCAATTCTGGGCACTTGAAGCCATTACAGTTCGTGTCCATCGCGATTTGCAACGCGTCGCCCTTCCAACCGAACATGTAATCACCATGATTACCGAAGCCCGTGGCATCGCCGTAACTCCATACGAACGGCTGCGAACCGTCCTCAGGCCACTCGGACTTGTCGTTGAAAGGAGTCGTGTCCCAGACGATTTCGTAAAAGAGTTGGGGGATCTTGACGGGGTGCGTCGACGGACACGGGCCCCCTTCTTCGAATGTGCCACTTTCGGGATACGAGACGTGGCTGGCGTGGTCGGGAGAGTCTAAGTTGACGCCATCCCAGCAACTAGATAACCCATTAGCTAACTCGCTATCTAAAATAGCGGTCCGCTACTTACGTCGGAAACCGTAAGTTCGCCATGATACCCGCAGGGCATGGCTCTTTTGGCATGTCATGAGTCTCATTTGTCCTCGTCATAGGATCTTGAAGGCAGGTGCTGTGAAGGCAGTGTAAGCGTTTTTTTTTTTTTTTTTTTTTTTTTTTTTTTTTTTAATAAAAAAAAATAAAAAAAAAAAAATATTTTTTTTTTTTTTAATAAAAAAAAATTTGTTAAATTTAAAAAAATTTATAATTTAGT